CGTAACATGTCGAAAAGCCACTGTTGTTAACTTCAGCCCGTCAATAAAACGCCATAAAGTTACAGCTCGTCAATGTAGGAGTAGATAAAATTATTTTACGTGGGTTATAAATATTAAATATTTAAAAATAACTTACATATATACTTAACTATATATGTAAGTTATTTTTAAATAGTTACCTGTGCTACTTTACCAAATAATAATTCTGAACTAAAGTAAGAGTAGTAATGTAATATTTTATCAAAATTTGCAATAGTATTAGTACTGTTTTGGGATATCCAAAAAATAAATTACCCACTGGGAATACAATTTAATGCCCCTAAAAGCCAAATGGTACAAAAGTACATTTTGTTTAGTTTTGAGATAGTCATGTTTAAAGTTAAGCTTTATTATAAATAAGGGAAAAGTAAGGTTAAAAACATTAAAATTTGACAAATGTAAATTTTTAACAAATAAAATTGACTTCAAATTCTTCTTTGTGTACGTCGTAGATAAAGTGTAGTATGCAACTCGTTTTATAAACTTCTCTAGACACTCGTTTTTATTAAACACTCGCTCGCAAGCTTTGCTCGTGAATCTAAAATGACGTTTATAAAATTTGAAACATAATATACTACTTTTAAGCCTTACAAAATTAGAATTTATTAGTTATATTATATTATTAGTTATATTCCTTGGCTACCAAGTAAAATGTACGTTTTACTATGTATTCCTGTACTTAACTCCATTTTTTATATAATAGGGTCCTTATATAATAGTTAAAAGTCAAACGTGACTTGTATGCAATTAAATCCGTAAAATATTTATAAATATTAAGTAGTATACTAGTATAGTATACTAGTACTATTATTATAATAATATATATGTATTTATTTTTAATAAACCAAAGTCCGATACTGGACGCTCAGAAAACGGAAAAGTTGAAATGAATATACAGAAAGGACGCCCACAAATCGTTGGCGTAAAATTTTATTGAATTAAATATTCATTAAAAACACGAATTTGAAAATTTTACTTAAAATACAACAGAATCGTATTATAATTGCCATGTTGCAAAATTTCCTTGGCTAAAGGACGCTCTGAAATCGGAGTAATGTAAGAGATTTTATACTAAGGACGCTTACCAATCTCTAAGATGTAATTTTAAAAAATTAAATATACACAACGTATATTTTACATTGGCGACAGTCACTCCCCTCGTGGAAAAGTCGTGAACTAAAAATATACGAAAGTATATCAAAAATTTATTTTTCGAGTTCTGGGCGTCTTCTGCCAAAGGTCGTATAAAGGTGAATTAGAACACCTGGCAAAATCTTACAGGGTGTACAACCGGGCGTCCGGTATACGGACGCTTGGTCCCAGTGGACGCCCAGAGAATAGATATTAGACAATGTACGGACGCTCTGTCATAAGCTGGATGTATATATGTATGTATGTATGTATATACGTATAATTGGTATGTTGTTTAGCCCGGGATACTATTGTGGCGTTCTACCACCCACCATTTCTAACGTGGTTAGACGAGTATATATCTTTGCTAAGTAATATATATACAGGGTGTATCACGGTCGATGGTAGGTTAGACGTTTATGGAGAACGGCAAAAGATTTCGAATTGAATTTTTTATAGCAATTATAATATCATTTAAACTATATTTCTAAATTATTTTGAACAAAATTTCTCTTCCGGTTTTAACGGAAGTGATATCAACTTTGTTATTTTAAATGGATCATCATAATTTTTTTTACATTTTTAAATTCCTACTATCATTCCTTATAAAATGGCTATACCATGTCCTATACCAAAACTTAATAGTTTTTGAGTTATTAATTTTTTTTGTAAAATTCGGTCAGTTTCACCCTCAACAAAAAGAGCTTATAACTTTTTTATTATTAGGTTTGGTGATATCCGGTTGGATTTATTGGAATCCTGAAGCATTCTTTTAAAGATTCCATGTAATTTATTTTAATATTTCTAAAAAGATACTTGATAAAAAACAATGTGAATGTAGCTAACTTAAAACAGCAATAACTTTTTTATTTTCAATGGAACGCCCTGTATATTTTTACATAATTAAATATGAAATTATAATACCTTTTCATTGATATAACTATTCCCTATACCTAAAGTTAATAATAACAAAGTTATTTTACAATTCCTATTATTTATTATGTATTTCAAATTTTTAAATATTAATATTAATTTAAATTAATAAACAATACTAGTGTAATCTACGAATGAGTTTCAAAAATCATATGACAAGAAAATAATATTAATAATAAGAATATTTTTTTTCGGTGTTTGTAAATAAAAGCACTCTCTAAAATTGAATTAGTCAAAAATGACTAATTTAATAGTTGCTGCTTTTTCACTTGTACCATGATTAACCATGGAATACCATGGTATCCCAAAATTTAACAGTCAATTCTTATGTAAAATTGTCCCCTGAATCCGAAAATGTCAAAAGTTAAGAAAGTAAAACAGATTTTGAGATATAGTTAATTTTCCATTCAATATGGAATTGACTATATCTCAAAAACTGCTTCACTTTAATAATTTTTGGGATACCATGATATTTCATGGTTAACCATGGTACAAGTTTAAAAGCAGCTACTAATAATTATTAATTTAGTCATTTTTGACTAATTCAATTTTAGAGAGTGCTTTTATTTACAAACCCCATAAAAAATATTCTTATTATTAATATTATTTTCTTGTCATATGATTTTTGAAACTCATTCGTAGATTACACTAGTATTGTTTATTAATTTAAATTAATATTAATATTTAAAAATTTGAAATACATAATAAATAATAGGAATTGTAAAACAACTTTGTTATTATTAACTTTAGGTATAGGGAATAGTTATATCAATGAAAAGGTACTATAATTTTATATTTAATTATGTAAAAATATACAGGGTGTTCCATTAAAAATAAAAAAGTTATTGCTGTTTTAAGTTAGCTACATTCACATTGTTTTTTATCAAGTATCTTTTTAGAAATATTAAAATAAATTACATGGAATCTTTAAAATAATGCTTCAGGATTCCAATAAATCCAACCGGATATCAGCAAACCTAATAATAAAAAAGTTATAAGCTCTTTTTGTTGAAGGTGAAACTGACCGAATTTTACAAAAAAAATTAATAACTCAAAAACTATTAAGTTTAGGTATAGGACATGGTATAGCCATTTTATAAGGAATGATAGTAGGAATTTAAAAATGTAAAAAAAATTATGATGATCCATTTAAAATAACAAAGTTGATATCACTTCCGTTAAAACCGGAAGAGGAATTTTGTTCAAAATAATTTAGAATTATAGTTTTAATGATATTATAATTGCTATAAAAATTTCAATTCAAAATCTTTTGCCGTTCTCCATAAACGTCTAACCTACCATCGACCGTGATACACCCTGTATATATATATATATATATATATATATATCGATGACTTTCTGCCAAAGTATCGCAAGCAACATAACTGAAATTTCGGTAATTGAAATTTTGTTTTATTTTAAAGTCTGTTTTAAACCATATATAACCTATAGGTTTTATAACAAGTAAATAGCTATAATTAAAAGCTATTTAATTGTTATAAAACCTTTGGGCTATATTTAATTTAAAACAGACTTTAAAAGAAAAAATGTTTTCAATTCCCGAAATTTGAGTTATGTTGCTTGCGATACTTTGGCAGAAAGTCATCGATATATATATATATAGATTTGCTTTAAATTTTACACTATATATATTGGAATAAACAGGCGACGCTGAAATTTTTTTTTAAACAAATTCAAACAAAACCACGATACTTTGATTCCAACGGTTGTCAAAGTTGACTTTAGCCATCTATTGTCTTTATAGCAAAACTATTTATCACCTGTAAATTGTGGAGTTATTTAATTATGCCATATATGGCGACAAATTATATTACTAAAAACTGTTAAAAAGTCTGAAATTACCATTTATGTAATACATGGAAATTACAGTAAAACCTAGAAAAACAAAGTAAATAATAATTTTCAACCATTATTTTACAAACTTAAAATTATCCATAATTATTTATAATAAATATTTAGATAGCAAAAACACAATTACTTTGTTTATTAGGTTTTCACTAGTTTTGTAATTTGTGGTCCTCGTACTCTCCAAGGGCGTCTAGGCGAAATTAGAGCATAAAAGCAGGGTCTAATTAAAAATAATTTACTTTTTCGCAATGAAAAATTAAAAGAGCCTATTTTAGGCTCATAAAAATGTCCTATTTAGGACAATAAATCAAAATTTCGTCATTTTAAGCTTTTAGGCAAAAACAAAGGGGTGTCAAACGCTTTATTTTTTTAAGTTTATAAACTTAAAAAAATAAAGCGTTTGACACCCCTTTGTTTTTGCCTAAAAGCTTAAAATGACGAAATTTTGATTTATTGTCCTAAATAGGACATTTTTATGAGCCTAAAATAGGCTCTTTTAATTTTTCATTGCGAAAAAGTAAATTATTTTTAATTAGACCCTGCTTTTATGCTCTAATTTCGCCTAGACGCCCTTGGAGAGTACGAGGACCACAAATTACAAAACTAGTGAAAACCTAATAAACAAAGTAATTGTGTTTTTGCTATCTATCCTATAGGATTAATTTGAAGGTCCCAAATAAATGCCTAAAATGGAAACAAAAAGGCATTTTGCCTAAAATCCGGTCCTTGATTATAATTATATTGGTAAAATGCAATACAAACTGATTTTTAAACTTGCTTATATATATGTAATCATTGTAATGGCAGTAGGCCATTTAAAATAAAATCTACTTTGATAAAATAGAGAAAATTATACATGTATACACCAATGAAAGTGGTATTTTAAAGCACGGGTTTTCACAGTTGGTCATTAAAGTTAAGATATGGTTATTTTTTACAGAAATATCATAAATAATCCAACATACGATGTTAATATTATTAATCATTGTTTTGTGTATTTCCAAGCACGCACATTCGTAATCTTTTAGCTCATATACTTAGATATTTAAGAGAATGGTTTGATATATGTGCCTTTCCTGTCACGGAATTTTCCAATCCAAGCTTGAAGGATAATTAAAAAATAACTGAAATAAGGAAAAACCCCTATTTTTTTTAAATTAATAGGTAAAAAACGCATTTATTCAAAAATAAAATAAATAATATGGGATATTTTTTAATTAATTGTTTCGACTTTTACTTGATGAAACTCCATGTTAATATTGTTTTATTTTAATATAAACTACACTGTTTAAAAGTTTCACTATTTTATTTAAATATTACAATTGTTTCGCTACACAGTACCATCTTCAGATCGTATAATATTTTTTGTTCCCTGAGCAAAAACCGTCTCGATATCACAGAAACTATTAATAACTTGGAAACGTATAAAATTCAAATTTTGTCAAAATGATGTGGGATTAGGATATATCCTCCACTTCATTTATCATTTCTTTTCCTTATGTGTAACACGAAAATAAAGTCCTAACATATTAAATAAAAATCCATAAAAAGTGGGTGAATATTGTAAATCATTTTGACATATTACCTGGCAACTCTAAAGTTCTATATTAAATTTCGAATTGAAATATTGTAAAGTATAGATTTATTGTTTAACATGTTGGGCAAAAAAAGACTGTTATGCATTGTCACTTTTGTTTTTTAGAGTAAACGAGAATTTTTAATATAGGGAGCATTAAATTTGATTAATAGCTATTCTTTATTAGAAAAAATTATCTTTCTATACAATTTATATATTAATGTGACAGAGAACTATAGTTCAGTATACTGAAAATAAATTTTATTTTGTTAAATATGGAAAACAAAACAATTTCTATCAAAGGATTAATTTCAACATCGAAAACTTTTTTTATCAAATTATAGGCACTTTAAAGTTTAATTAAAAGTTAATTTAAGCATTAAGAAAAAATTAATTAGTAAAAATAAATAGCGAATAAAGTGGCTAGTTGCAGTGAAGCAAAAGTTAAATAAAACAATTTCGCAGTGAGTGGTAGTAGTGCTCTTACTTGAACGAGTTTGGTAAACTTTCGAAGCAGGTTTTCAATGCTTTATTTTAATTTTAGTTAATTGAAAAGTTTTCGGCAAATATGTACGAAATTTTAAAAGGTTTTGTATTTATTGCACAGCAAATGAATCGCAATTGTTTGCAAAATTAACGACTTAAGTTAGACGGAGTTTGGCTGGCAACGCTTCATTGTGAGATTAGCTTTATTGGAAAAGCTTTCAATTTGCTTGTTGGTCATACCCTAATGCCATTTTTAGACTTAATTTATTGCCAATTGCCATTCTGCCTCTTTCTTTTTACACTTTTGTTTTATTTATTGCAGCTACATTTTATAATTATTTGTTCCATAAGAATGCAGAATGATAGTATCATTCTGATCATTATGATGCTACTTTCCAATTTTTAAAATAATAAAGAACTGCAAACAAACTTTCTAAATCTCAACAAAGCTCCAAGCTGCATGGTTAGCAATATTTACCAGTTTTATTTAGTTAACAATATACCAACTAACAAATTTATTAATTTTATAAAAAATTTTAAAATTTTATAAAATGAAAAGTTTAGTACAAAATTAGCGATTTAGAAATAAAATTAAAACGTTTAACCTACCCAGACAACACGCATTGGTATATTAAACGTTTATTTTACGTATTACGGTACGTATAAATACCGTTGATATTTTACTACAAGTAAACGTTCGAATGTCCGCGAGATGAACGTATATAACCTGTTAAAATTAAACGCGTATTTCTACACTGTTTAAAATTTTAGATGATTTTTACCTAAAATATTAGACTATATAGGACCATTGATTTTTTAAGGCAAACTGCTTGAAATGAATTCAGAGGAATATTCCCCTTTTAAATTAGTGAATTCTTTAACAGATATTTTTAAAGAAAATGATACAATTAATTAAGCAACATTACTTAGGTTTCAAAGATGATACACCTTAGATAGTAAGGGATTTTGCCTGAGAATAAAAGAATAAATTTCCTGTTTCTAAGGCAATTTGCTTAAATTTTTAGGTAGATTTTAACTAAGTTTTCAGGCAAATTATATATATTTTTAGTGAAAATCCTAGCATAGGAATTTTCTTCCAAGTTAGGACTCCTTCATCTTTATGTCCTAGGCGAATTAACAACGGCGGTTCCGGTACTACATGTAGTTCCGGAACCCTTTAATTATTTATATTATTATTATATTATTTAAAAATAAATTGGGGTCAATGGGAAATTCTATTTACTTTGGATTACTTAACTATAGCACTATTGTATACAAAATGTTCACTTATAGCACAATAATTGTTAACCATGTTGTTATATCAATAGCAGACAACGCGGTCTTGAAGCTTTCGTTAATTTTGGCATTCTGGTGGACAATATAGGCGCGAATATTTATCGTAAAACGTCGGTATTAGCGATCGTAGCCGATTGCAAGTAAGTCACTAATATTTAAAGGAATTTACCTACATTATTTCAATAATTTGCCATAATAATTTAGAAGAATTACCCAAATTAAAAGCAAAATTGTCGTACCTAAAAGTAATTGAGATTTTAAATAAATATTTGGGTAATCTGCCTATCTTTTTAAATTTGACAAGTTTATTAAGTAAAGTATGAATATTTATCTAGATGTTAGTGAATACACCATAGAACTAGGGCATTCGTTTCTGCCTAATAAACGAGAAGGTAAATTGCTTTACTCGTTTAAGCATATTACCTTATTTTTCCTTAACTAATTCTGATTAGGTATTTCAAAAGGCTTGATTTTGAACAGTGTACTATAATAATTGGCATACTAATAAACTTTTATACTTGCTGCTTTTTTAAATACTGTGGCTTGGTACAACTTACCCATAGCGTTTGGAGCATTTATATACCAAACAATAAGAATAAAATTTTGAAATATTTGAGGTAGAAACATTTTCGTTTAATAAGCTAATCATTAAATTTTCTTAGTTTTTTCAAGAAACTTCCTTGACCCATTACTGGTATTATTCAAAAGAATTTAAGTGAGTTCCACCAACATATACAGACAGTTTTCCACCCATACTGGGTTTCAACAGTTTCGGACAACTTGTTGTAGTAGCATAACAAAAACTAAAATCTGAACTACCTGAGCTTATATACTATCCAACTAAGCCAATAGAGGCGAGATGCAAAAACATCACGTGATCCACACCGCCTTTGCCGCGATCGGTACATACTATGCCACCAAAAATGCACGGTAAATAATAAACGTTAATAAAACAAATATTTCTATAAGTGTATACACTTATTATAATAAACGATATTATGCTACAATTGGTTTTATTTCTAACAAAAATTAACGTGTTATAGATATAGTAAATTCCTTATTGTTTTTATACGTTTTTCAATATATATATTTATATATATATATATAGGTATTTTAAAAGTAGTGGTATATTTAAAAACGTATAGTTTGGTAAAATAAAAATGTATAGTTTATAAACCATCTAAAATATACGTTTAGAAGTTATACTAATACCAAATTTAAACCATTTTTACGTATAAAAAACGTTTATTATACTAAGCTGTGTTGCCTGGGTATGTTTAACACTAGTAATGAAGGAACCATATAAATTTTTGGACGCTTTTATCTCAGTTTGTCTATTGCATAAAATCATCACTTATATGCAATATTATAAATTAAAACATGCTTGTATACAGGGTGTCCGCTTATCTTATCGGTAGATTTGAATTTCCCCGAGAAAGTGCCGTAGTAATGCCTGAATTAGAAGAGGCTACCTTCAAGCGTTTTTAAATAAGAATAAAAATGTCAAATTTCTTTTTATTTATTTGATCGACATGAAAATGCGCAACCTGTTCCATTGTGATGTATCTCTGGATAAGATAAGCGATATTCGCATGCTTATAAGCTAGAAATAGCAGGGAGTTAAGGAAAAAAAATCTAAATTTTTAAAATTTCGTACGTTCCGATAAAGCGGTTTTCACATTATTATATGCAATTCTATCAATTATGATAAGTTTTTATGTATTTCTTGGTTGACGATCTTCATTTTTTTAGATTTTTTAATAATATATGAATAACGTATTTTTTAATTTTATCTTTTATGGTTTCTGCCAAAAAAATAAATCCAACAAAGTTGAAACCCACCTTTAATATTTGTTAAACTGGTGGAACTTTTGTTTGCAAATTGCACTGCATGGCAATATTGTTTCATGAAATAATAGTTATGAATACATGAGTGAAAACAAACAAGAAAACATAGCGAAGATAAAAAGCAAAGCTAGTGAAATTTGTTGTCCATTTACGTATCAAAGAAGCGACAATAGCAAGAAGGCACATCTAATAATTGTGTTTGTTAGTAGTTGGTATTGTCTTCTTTGTGTATAAACTGACAACACCGGCAGTAGTATATTTAATGTGTCCCGTGTGTCCGGACTGCTTTTCTTTCCTTGTATAATCGGTTTAGAGAGTCCCCCTTCCGCAAAAATGGATGATAATATTGCAGTTTGAGGAGGACCGAAGTTGCAGATGCTGCCAGGATGGTCGGTCGAATAAACATAAACTTCCCTTTTTAAAACTATTGATGTTTGATAGTAATGAAAATGGCTTAGCATGAGGAGGGTAAATAAAATAGAGGGACCGGCAGATTACCAGCGTCGATCCCTTTAAATTGCTTCTCACTTGATTAATAGTAAATCTTACAGTTCGTTTTATGAGACAACGATATAATCTAATATGTCTTATTTTTATTATTATTATTTATTTATTTGCATCCAACATGCCAAAGGTCTAATTACAGAATTACAGTACAGTACATTAATAATGCAAAAAACTATTACTTATACACAGATTTTTCAATTTAGTTATTGGTATTCCTGCAGGACATGTTTTATATTACTGTAAATATTTTAACGGTTTATTAAAAAATATTATAGGAAACGTGATAGTTCAATAATAAAATGTTATTATAATATAATAATAAAATTGGTTTTATAGCTTAAAAATGCATTTTTGTAAAAAAATGTCGACTATTTATTTTACAAAATAAAATTATTTTTCATAAT